AAGGACATTGGGTTTTTTAAAAAACATTTCCAATGTTTTTGTCATTTTAAGCGTTTTTTTTTTTTTCGTTGGGAATGATACGGAAACTAACACTCGGAGAATATTAAATTCAAGCTTCATCGTCACCACTGCAAAGTATAATTAAAAGTTAGATCACATAAAAAAAGTAACATTACTAAATTTAATTTCATCATGAACTGATAATTAAATCAGTATTTTGATACTTTAATTTGATCATATTACCATGATCTAATTTAATATGATTTTAAAAGAAGGAAGTGCATGCAACTCGGTCTGCGTTGCATTGTGGGGGTAAATTTTGAGCTCAATTTATTTTTATAAAAAATAAAATTTTATAAAATACAATTTAAATTTTTTAAATTTTATTATCTATTTCATCATGCTAACAAAGTCATAAGGTTTTTTTAAGAGAATAAATTATAATATCTCATATCAGCGAATAAAATTTTAATAACTGGTCTTATCAATATTGCTAAATGTTAACTTATTAAATACGTTTTAGAGCAATACATGGTCATCAAGAATAAATTTATAAGAATAAAAAAACTCAAAAAGAATAATATTTGATAGGTTAAGTTAAATCGTGATAAAGTTAATTAATAAAAAATATTTTATACTTCAAGAAAAAAATGATCTTGTTTTTAGAAAAAAGTTTTTTCTTTTATTGTAGATAGAAAAATATTTTTTAGAAGTTGTAAAAAAAATAGAAAATATATTATTATTTATTGATCATATTATATTTAATTCTTGATTTTTTTATTGCTATATATTTTATTTTAATTTTTTTTAATCTTGTCTTTTATAATTTGATTTTAATATAAACTTTAGCCCATGTTTATTTTATTGTTATTTTTTTTTTATTTTTTAATAGAAAATTTTATGTACCAGATTTTATTTTTATTCTTTTAGTTGACATGTATTTTATTTAATTTCATTATCTTTATTCTCATTATTGTAATGATTTTTTTAAAAAAATATTAATAAATTACTTTTTATTTTATTTTTTACAATATAGTTAAGTACTAAAAATTATTTTTTAATTTATTTTTTATTGCAATACTTAGATATTAAAAAAATTATTTTTTATAAAAACAACTTAAAAAAATAACAAGAAGTCAACAACTATTTCCGCGGAAAAAAAGGAAAAATGGAAACGAGCGGTTAGCTGTTCCTGGTCGTGCACAGACGACGGCTACACGTGTGAACCAGTCAAAGCACTAGTTCATGTCATGAGAGACCCTGGTACAGATCCCGGAAGTCGCAATCATACTCAACTCGGAGAAGAGTCATGCTCGAGTCACGAAACAAACATAGCTTGCCTTGTCTCGTGACCCGTCATTTTTCTCGAGAGTTGAGAGTCACACAGCAGGCATTAACTTTCAGTGATTTATGGTATTTTGCGATATCTTCTGTGCTCGTGATTCACTGCATCCTTTTCTGTTTTCCTAAATTAGTGTATTATTTTATCCATTTTCTGCCTGTATATACTATTCCTAGTATTTCCATTTTTTAAAATAGACATGATTCTTTTTTTATTTTTTTAATGGCAAGAGTAGGATTCTGACTCCATACGCTCCATAAAATCAATACAAAAACCTAAAATAGAAAGGGAAATCCATGTCCATTTAACATGTATCGGACGACATTTCACCACCCATTAACTTTTCATGCACGTGTATTATCCTGTTTATTCTTTAAACTCCATTTTTATCAAACTTATTTTCCATTTGATTGCATCATTTTCTGCCCCTGCTAACAACCAATTTCTTATAATTTGCATTTGAGAGTCGAAATTCTAAGTTAGAGGACTAGAGTGTAAAGGATGAAGAAACCAAGTGGCTAGTTATAACTATGCATAAAATTTTTGTTTGTCCAGAACTTTTATTTTCATTGTTTTTAGTCCTTCCAGCTCTTGAGATTTAGTTTTCAATCCAAACCTTTATATTATTTATATTTAAATAATTGGGATTGATAGACAAGGAAGGGGATGGAAAACAACGAATAGAAAGAAAATGTTTGTTTGACCGCGTTTCAAATACTCAGGTAGTGTTTGAGGTTGTAATTAATTGTTTTTTAAAGTATTTATTGTTTAAAAATATATGTTAAAATAATTTATTTTTTAAATCAATACATGAAAATAATCTAAAGAGATATACAAATTAATTTGAAATGAAAAAATCAAAAGTTTTCAAAAATTCTTTTTAATAAAAAAACTTTATAAAAATCAAACTTGCTATCAATGAGTGAGTTTAGTGGTTGTGGTTTTTTGCTATCAATAATACCAAGAAAATAATATGTACACTCGTAAACTTGGGACCAGGGGCTGTCCCGTCCAGTTCATTGAAGTTTTTATAAAAAAAATCACATGAAATTTGTTAAAATACCTTTTAGTTTTGGAATTTTTTTTTCAAATAACACTGTAATAGTGTTTTTGGTATCAACGAGTGTTTTTTTTTCCAACGTTTCTTCTTCTTTTCTTCCCCTTAGAGTTGAATCAAAACTAGTATAACTAGGGCTTGGCCTAGCGGTGGAAGGGGCTTGTCTCCTTCCACTGCACCTGGGTTCAAGCCCTAGCGTGCACGCCTGTCACCCCCGCGGTGCCTTACATGCCTACTGGGTTTGCAGGATATTCAGTGGGCCGTGGGGATTAGTCGTGGTGCGCGCAAGCTGACCCGGACACCCCACGTAAATCAAAAAAAAAAAAAAAAACTAGTATAACTAAATAGATAATATTATATTTAACATGTATTTCATTGTAAATAATTCAATTGTCCTGTACTGAAAATAAAACCAAGGGCTATTGGTGGCGTGGGATCAAGTATTTTAGCATGCATCCATTTTTTTAACTTTAAAATTTATTTTTTGGTTCGAGTTTTTTTATACATTTATTAATACATATAATTTTTAATTTAATTTATTAAATATACAAATTGACTTTTCATTTTATAGTTAATTATTTTTATGTTAGAAAATATGTTGATAACAAATGCACACTCATTTTTTACAGTTTTGTTTTTTTTTTAAAAAAGAATCTCCGAGTGGGGGTCAAAAGACCATATAAACTGTAACGTAATGTATCAAGGAAGATTTGACTTGAATGAATGAAGCAGGGAAATGGTGAGCAACCGTGATAAAAAAGGAAACCAATTTAATAATTTAACACTATGGTCATTTGCATAAAAGTATTTCACAAGAAATGTGTTGAGATTTGATGCGTGGATAATCGACAGAATTGATTATTTTCCATGTTCAAATCTGATTTGTTTTCCTGGTCCGTAGAATACAAATCAACATGTCGGATTCTGTATAAATCTTTGGATTTTTTTTATTAGAGTGGTTGGAAATGTAATGTAAATCATGTTCTTTTAAAATTTAATTTTTTTTGATTTAAAATGAATTTAGATAGTATTTATTTTTTATTACCTTTTATGTATTTATCTTGTTAAGAGGTTTTCAGAACTATCCAAAGTCTTTTGTATATACAAAATGTATTATTAAAAATATATTTTTTAAATAATATTTTTAATATGTGTAACTTTGTAAGATATTTTTATTTTATTTTATTAATTTAATGTGTATTTATTTTCATTATCATTTAATTGAAAAAAATATTTTAATTAAAAAATTCATCAGACAACAAAATAAATATTCTATCTTATCAAATTAAACTTATATATAATTAAAAAAATATATTAACAAATACCTTTTATGTGTATGAGACAAGGAGCGGGAACTAGAGCATTTCAGCTGTTTGGAGGGGAGGGATGAAAGTATGAAACTTGAAATTCATATCTTGTCGGCCCTCCACTTTAATAAAAAATAAAGTTAAAGTTAAATAAAAATAAAGCAGTAGAAGCTGGCAGCAAAATCTCGTGTAAATCCATCCCATGTAGTCCCCCAAGTTTTCAAATATTATCTAATCAGATCCTGTACTTTAATTTCGAGCATGACAGCCCTCATTCTTTCGATCTCTAGTCGTATCCCCTCCACAGAACACATTTTCATCATGCGGCTTCCATTGGCTCCAGCATAAAAACTTTTAAGTGGTTGAAGGGGTCAAAAGTGACACAAATTGAAAATGCAAGGGCTTATATGCCCAAAGTTAAAGAAAACGGGATGATCATAGACAGAATTTATCCACGAAATCACATAAAGCCAGTGAAGCAGGAAGGGCCAGGCTAGGAAAAATCTCTCAACAAACCTGACACTACTCACTCTGAATTACCTTGTATGTATTTATTTTGTTAAGTGGTTTTCAGAACTATCCAAAGTCTTTTCAAGTCTTTTGTATATACAAAATGTATTTTTAAAAATATTTTTTAAAAATAATATTTTTAATATGTGTAACTTTGTAAGATATTTTTATTTTATTTTATTAATTTAATGTGTATTTATTTTCATTATCATTTAATTGAAAAAAATATTTTAATTAAAAAATTCATCAGACAACAAAATAAATATTCTATCTTATCAAATTAAACTTATATATAATTAAAAAAATATATTAACAAATACCTTTTATGTGTATGAGACAAGGAGCGGGAACTAGAGCATTTCAGCTGTTTGGAGGGGAGGGATGAAAGTATGAAACTTGAAATTCATATCTTGTCGGCCCTCCACTTTAATAAAAAATAAAGTTAAAGTTAAATAAAAATAAAGTAGTAGAAGCTGGCAGCAAAATCTCGTGTAAATCCATCCCATGTAGTCCCCCAAGTTTTCAAATATTATCTAATCAGATCCTGTACTTTAATTTCGAGCATGACAGCCCTCATTCTTTCGATCTCTAGTCGTATCCCCTCCACAGAACACATTTTCATCATGCGGCTTCCATTGGCTCCAGCATAAAAACTTTTAAGTGGTTGAAGGGGTCAAAAGGGACACAAATTGAAAATGCAAGGGCTTATATGCCCAAAGTTAAAGAAAACGGGATGATCATAGACAGAATTTATCCACGAAATCACATAAAGCCAGTGAAGCAGGCAGGGCCAGGCTAGGAAAAATCTCTCAACAAACCTGACACTACTCACTCTGATCATATCATCTGTCTCTCCCTGTCACAGTCACCCCTAGCATATCTCTCGCTCCGTTCGAAATAAAAACAAATTTTCTTTTTAATTTGCCGTCACTTTGACCGGCCGAACCAAACACAAAAAACAACAGAAACTCTCTATCTCCGGCGAAACGACAACAGGAACAAGAACAGCAACAAAAAACAGTTTTGACTTCTATTAATCTCCTGAGTATCTCAGATTCTCTCTTCCCTGCCCCCGCCCGCCCGCCCCGACATCGTTGTCAGTTCTTATAAGATTCAAACGTAAGAAGCGAGAAAGAAAGCCTTGTTCGGGATTGATGCGGCAATAAAACCTTTTCTTTATTTTTTCTCGGAAAAAAAGACGTTAGTGTTTGGCTACCCGGAACAAAAAATCGGAATAAAAAAAGGTCTTAAGGTATTTATTTAGCTGGCGAGGTATTGAATACTATAATATAATTAATAAGGGTTGGGGGTGGGGGGGGGGGGGGGGGGTATGATACTAAAACAGAGCTGTTAGCTGCTCTTATCCGTGGTATTAATTACAGACATATGTTAGTTGACCTTTTTTTTTAATTTACTTATTTAGGGTCTGGATTGCCATGTATATTACAACTCTGTCACATACATCTGCCTATCTGTCTCTTTCCTTCTCCCGTCTCTGTTTCTCAAAATTTATTGCCACTATTTCTGCTCTTAAAAGCAATCAGCTCTTTAATAAACCTTAGTTTTTCACACAGAATTTCTCTCTCTTTACTGCTTGAGGTTTATTCTCCTTCTTTGTTTTTGCCTTTACATATCTTCAGGTTTTGTTTATTTATGGATTCCTCACTGGTAGTTAGAGGTAGATGTTGATTTGTTTATGCGTTTTCTCAGTGTTTCTTTTCTTTTCTTTTCTTTTCTTTTGCAGTGATAGGCCTTGAAAAGAGGCACTGTTCATTCTGAATCAGAAAGAAAAGAAGGGGTTCGCTTTTTTCTTCATTCTGAATCAGAAAGAAAAGAAGGGGCTCGCTTTTTTTTTTTGAAGCTGATAAAAAGGGTATGACATTGTTAATGTTTTCTTTGTTTTGATTTGTGCTATATTTTTTGTGGCGTTTATTGAGATTGTTTATGTGGTGGGATCTGGTTTCAGATCTCTTTTATTGCTTTATTTTGGTTTCCACTGATTTTCATTTTCTTTATTTCTTTTCGTTTATCACGGGACTCGAGGTAAAAGTGAAAACCCACCTGGGATTTACTCGGGATGTTTCTGGATTTCATATTTTCTTTTATTTATAATTTTTCATGGTTTTAGATCTGATCATCACTAGCTACGAAACAAAAAGAAGGTGGTGGTGTTGTCCGAGGGTCATTGCGAATTTCTCTTTCTTTTCCGCTTTTTTATGTTTAAAAAATTTGGTTGGGTTGTTTTGAGCCGTGTTATTATATTTTTGTTGAAAGTTTATGGAAGCTTTTGCAAAAGTACGAACTTTTATTTGTCCTTATTTATCATGTAGAGAACAGATTTAAAATTCCACATGGTATGCCGAAAGCTTTTTTTTGACTTCGGATTAATCTTTGTGAAGCTATTATTCTTAAATACTGTTTTTGGATAATTTAATTGGACAACCATTAATCTTTCAACTTTAAGCTAAGAACGTAAGCTTGGATTATGATTATATTCAAGTAAGAACTCTTGAACTATGTCTTTTTTCTTCTTCTGATCACAACTTTTCCTTAGACTTTCAGAATTTTTATTGAATAACTAAGCTAAGCTAGTTGCGGGTTTTCTTTTCATAATTAGTTTATGCGAGCTACTTTGTTGATTTGTTACTTGACCTTTTGGTGGTTTTTTGTCCTAAAGTTAGAGAAAGTGGTTCCCACGACAGACACATGATTGCGAAATTTGACACATTATAGTCAAGGTTGTTTTCCACCTGTTCTGGTAGATTATCTACTAGACTCAGGCTGAATGTGGTTTTCTTTATCGTAATTTCCCCTAAACTTGTTTTCCACCTGTTCTGATCCTGTTCCCGTGTCATGTTTGCTTCATCCTATTGTTTAGAATTGGGGTTTCTCCCCAAGCTTCGCATGCCTGTAAAAGTTGACTAATTACTTGTTTAGAACTTGGACAGCCTTAACTATGACCATTTTAGTTAGAAATTGATGACTGTTAGATTGCAGATTTTTTTTTTATAGTGCTTGTTCTGTCATTTTGAGTTGAGCATCTGTATGCCAATTTTATCTCCTTACTGTTAGTTTTCCTTTCCAAAGTTTAGTCGATTTTCCTTGCCAACCTTGTTTTGGTGAGCAGGTGATAGCATTGTCCAAGTAGTATATGTTTGAAAACAATATTTACAGTAGCTTGAATAGCTGTACATCTTCCATCTCGTACAATCTATGTGAAACATGAGAATTGGTAATTACCTACTCTGCATTCTTCATCTCCATTTGACGTTTTGTTTTTCGTAGTTAGCTTAAGTTTGCAGTGTATGTTTCTGTTTTTCTTGCAAGTATTGTAAGGAGACTTGCTACTATTTTATCCCCCGTTTAGCATTCATTTTTACTTGCTGGGTGGATTGTTTTATCTGGAAATATACTGTCATTTAAGTTTCCTTCTACTGTGGACATTCTAACGCTCAGATTTCAGATTTCACTGCCATTAAATATGCTCCTTGCAGAGAGTGAACGTGTTTTTTTTGCAATGGAGCCATGAGCCACGAGCCTGATTCAAGACCTGTTGAATATAATGACAATGCTCTGGATTTCATTGGACTCAAGTCTGGAAATGGGTCTGTGAAGGAAATTGAGAATGGAAAGTTGAGTGATTTGGAGGGCATGGAAGGTGATGCAGATCGATTACCAAATGTAGCACCAGTACCATCTCCTCATTCTTCACTGAAAATGGAACCATTCGAGGAGTCGGTTTTCTATATGGACAAGAGTGTTATGGTACGTGAGGTGCCAGAGTTAATAGTTTGTTACAAAGAGAATACATACCATGTCAAGGACATCCGTGTTGATGAGGGAGTTCCTTTGCAGGACAAGTTCTTGTTTGACACAGATGCACACAAGAAGAATATGTGTGAATTCTTACCTTCTGAAAGGGATATGAACAATGAGATGATCAAAGAAAAGTCTGACCTTGATATGCTGATTCCAGAAATGCTGAAATCTCCATCAGAAAAGCAAAATGTGGATCTTCATTTGCCTGTTCCGGATGTGCTTATATCTTCCGAAGAAAAGGGTTTGAAACATGATCTGTCCCTTGATTGTGATCCCAAACATTTAATGCCGACAGAGGAAGTAATGGATTATGGGACAAAGAAGGTTACAGATGATGCTTCCAAAGAGATTTTATCACTGAGAGATCTGCTTTCGATGTCAGAATTAGGTGCCAAGTCTACCCCAGCCAATGCTTCCTATCACAACAACATGGATAAAGTTGAACAACAATCTCTTCTGGTATGCACATCTTCACCAAAATTATTTTGGTTTGCTCCAAATTCACAAATAAAAAGTAAATAGAGAAAAAGGAAGCATGGCTCTATCCATTCATAGTTAATTGTTATTGAATTGCTTTTTATTTATGTGTAGCATTTCTCCTCTCCTCTCTCTCTTCATTTTTTTTTGGTGGGGGAGGGGGTTCTGTCACCATACCGCTTGCACTGAATTGATAGAATAAGTGTGATCGCTTACATCACCCAATGGATAGACCTCTGTCCTTTTACCCTTAAATGGAAGGTGCTTGGTAGAATAGCTAATGATCATCTGGTCTCCAGCAAACTCATTGCTAGCTACTTCTCTTGTAAAGGGCTTGATAGGTCCTCTCCCCGGGTCCTTGCTTCAGAAAAACTATTTCAGCTTGGTTTTCAAATGCATTTGGTGTAGAGGGACAGCGAAAGTTGAGGTGTTGGGTTTGGCATGTTTTGGTTTGAATGTAATGCTGTTTGTGATGGTTTGAATGCTTGCTTGCAGTGCCCGAGGGAAAATGCAATATTGGAGACAGATTCTGCCAGTGAAGAATCTGAAAATTGCAGCGAGGAAACAATCTCGGACATTGGCCTTGAGTCAGCAACCCTGGCAATCCCTACCCAAGATCCTGCATATCAAGAATCAGACCATGGCCACACGGAAGCAGTCTTGGTGAGTCCCACTCTTACTTCTGCAGCAGAAGTATCGGATAGCAAGGAAACAAAATTGGCAAGCCATGCTTTGGATTCTTTTTCTGAAGAATCGACCAGTAGGATCGAGGATGAGTTACCTTACAATAGCAAGACAGAGACACGAAGCATCAGTTTTGACAATGACTCTTCTGTTCATGCTGCAAGTGTGAGAGAGTCTCCTCGGAATGGTGAATCTCAGCGTCTTGGGACTCGAATCGTGCCCAGGTTTGAAGAACCTAATGCTGAACCGCTTTCAGGTGGTCAACTTCAATATGCTGATGGAGAGTCAAGTTTCTCTTCATCGGGTCTTTTATTTGGCCTGACAAGTCACTCGGGTCCTATTGCATATTCTGGTAGTGTCTCTCTTAGATCGGATAGCAGCACAACCAGCACCCGCTCTTTTGCCTTCCCCATGTAAATAACAACCAAACTATTTCTTTCCTTTTCTATATGTATCCATATATAAAATCGGTGAGTAATGACTTGATTATGCCTATTGTCTTGCACAGATTACAGTCAGAATGGAATAGCAGTCCTGCGAGAATGGCAAAAGCTGACCGAAGACATTTCCAGAAACCTAGGAAGTGGATGCAGGGCCTTCTTTGCTGTAGATTCTGAATTCCTCTGTTTTGTCCATAGATTGAAGTGAAAAGATACATATATATATATATATATATATAGACACACACACACCATTGAAATTTTTATTTTATGGTTTAGTTAGTAGTACAGACATGCATCTTTCTCTTTGGTTTAGTTAGTAGTACAGACATGCATCTCTCTCTTTCCTCCTCTGGCTTGGGGTGTGCTTGAAGCAGTTCTATATTATCAGAAGTTCCGAGTTTGGGTTCCCTATTGCAGATAGATTGACAGGTGGGACTCGAATAGGAGTTCTCGTCCCTCTTGCTTCTACATTGGTGAGATTTAAGATCCAAGTTTCACCTTTTTCGCACATGACCATTATGGTTTCCTATAAAATGGCCCGCAATAAGTACTCTGTGAGGATCCTTAAATTTGATCTTGTAATTTTTTAAATTCATAAGCGATTCCTAGTTAGTGCAGGGACCAAAAAAAAAAACTAGAAAAATGTGGATTCAATTTCCTCATGCACTCTTAACACAAAATATATTTTTCTTATTTGCTTTGCAATTGGATGCGGATTCATTCATTTCTAAAAAATTCTTGTGTTTTTTTCTAAAAAATTTATAAAAAAAGTTCGAGATAATTACAAAGAAAACAAGTTTGAGTTATAATCTTTTCGTGGTAGTTAACAGGGGCGTGTAAAAAAATTAATTAAATCAAGATAATAATAAAAAACTAATTAAATTAATTAGGAAAATTAAAAAACAATTTACTACGGTTGGTTTTTAATTTTAAAAGGTTAAAATTAAAAAAAAAAATTGGTGATATTAAAAATAGCTGTTAAGACCCATATACTTTTTAGCCCCCCTCCCTCCGACCGACTAATTCCAAGCTGCCCTAACAGAGATATTGCTTCACGAGACTGTTGTTTCTCTCTCGACTTTGGATCTTAGCACCCCAAAAATCCCTTTTTGTTCATCTCTCTATCAGAATCCAGGTAACATTCAGATCCCACAAAAGACCCTCTCTGGATCTTAGCCAGAAGTCTTCATGCACTTCATCTTACTTCCTGGAGAAGAGTTAACTTGAAGGCGAAGGAACGTTGTGATTTTAGAGATAATCAAATGTTCATTGCTGAAGAACCTCTACTGGATGGTTTCATGAGATGCAAACTCAGTAAAACTGTTTTTTTCTGGTTTTTCTCTTCAATTAACAAAATGAAACCAAATTAAAACTGTTTAGCTTGAATCGGTTTTGATTTTAATTTTTTTATAAAAACATTAATTTAATTATCTTTTTAAATAAAAACTGAACGGAACAAAAAATACTCCCCTAGTATATGATACTTTGCTAGTCATTAAAAGAGGACAGTAACCTCCATGAGTTGGTGGAGGTGCTGGAGGATATTAATTATATAGAGCTCTTGGAGATCCATGGCCAAATACTAACTCCTTTTTCATTGCTTATTCTTCCCGATCACCTTTTTTTCTTGCCGTGGAAAAAGTAAACCTTTCTTGAATACGGTATCCTTTATCGAAAGATCTTGGCTAAATTCAAAAGGTATCCAAAATTAAACAAGATAAAAAAAGGAGAGCTTTTTCATGGATCGATCCCAGAGGCACGTGCATGGTCTTTGAAAAACGGAAAACCGCCTCTTCGATCCATTTCATGCGGTGTTTGACGGAGATGTAGAAGATGGTTTCATTTAGCATGACTAACCTCTATAAATTATTATATTTTTCTTACTTGAACTAGCCTCTTTTTCAAGGGCGAGAGGGGGTGTCCCGGAATAATTTTTTCTTTCAAGGATGGCTCCATCCTCAGAGGTCATGGAAGCTTCGTCCACCGTAACCTGAAGAAAGATCGAGTCCTCATCTTTATATAGGTTAAAAGCTTAAAATTCAAGCTGTGAGCAACTGATTACTCAAATGTTTAAATAACACAAGATCTTCCCCTTCCCATTCCTATTCAATGTGATTCTAACACCCCAAATGCGCATACTCTATCAGTCTACCACCCACAAAACCTGGCCTTATTTTGATGCCCTAAAAGGGAAACTGGTTGTTTGTAGCTTGACTCTGGGAGGATAAAGATTACTGGGCCAATAACGTATTTAAAACAGTCACTTGGTGTAGTACCCTGATGAAGCAAGAGGAACATGACTGACTAGTTGCGTGATTCAATGATAAATTAACTGGCTATAATTTCTTTTCAGCTAAGAATGAGAGAGGAGTGAGTTATCAGTCACCATGAAATTATCAAATATTATTCTCTCTGCTGAGGAAAAGAAAGATCGGGCAGTTCTTTATTCAGAACAGATGCTTCTCTAACTTGGGGGTCGACGGAGATATATGTAGTTTTGAAAAGCAGGGAAATATAAAATAATAGCTCGTTCTAACTGGTTGATCAGAAGCTCACACAGGGATTGACCCATTAGTTAATTAATGTGATACCCATGATCATGTCCAGGCAAACCATACCATAGAGAACAGGATGTGGTTAGCGGGAGCAGACCAGCCGGGAAGTGGCGTGAATGGGTCAAGGTGACCGGCACGACCCATTTTTTCACAATGGATTACACGCCCGTTGGAAGAAGACGCCCACTACACAACAAATCCTCGCCGGTTGTTCTGTGAAGCATGGAGGGGGGCGGAGGCGGTGGAAAAATGCTGATCTAATCTCAGTACTGTGGTAGAAGATCAAGTTTTTTTTTTTTTTTTAATTATTAACGTCGGTGTTAGAATGAATTTGTACCTATCTTTAAATTTAAGAATTATATAATATTCTAATAATAAAAATTATATCAAACTTTAATAATTCTAAAATAATTTAAATTCATAATTATTAAAAAATAAATTTAAAAATTAATTAATTAAATTATCCTATATATTAAAAAGAAGTTTTTTTAACATGTAAGTTATGCGTACAATACAGGTTAGAAGTACGAACTTGTTTCACAGTATAATTATAATTGTTTTTTAAATATTTTTTTATATTAAAATATATGTTAATAATTTTTTATTTTTTAAAAATTATTTTTTATATCAAAATATTAAAATAATTTAAAAATATTAAAAATATATTAATTTAAAATTAATAAAAAATAAAAAAATTATTTTTAAAATATAGAAACAAAAATGTTATTACAATCACGGAAATGAGGAGTGTCTTTTGTTGTTATTGTAATTACGGAAATAACAACAAAAATGCTGATTTTGTTGTTATTGTTATTTTCCCGCACAATACTACGGCGTGAGTTTTCAAAATTTCTTTTTATTTAGTTCTTTTATGATTAAAATAGAAAATGATCTAAATTGTTGAACAAATTATTCTTTTCTTATTTTGTTTGAATAAAATATATTTTTTACTAATAAAAAACGAAGACTAGAGGACTGTTTTTTGCTGAACAATATTGTCTTTGTGAAGGGAGACATGATAATGCATGTTTATTTGTTTTTAATATATAATCTTTTTTAAATTGTTGCTTTATAAAAATAATATAAATATTTAATTTAAATGATGTTTTTAAATATTTTTAAATAATTTTAATGTACTGGTATAAAATATTATTATTTTTAAATATTTATAATTAAAAAACATTGATATTATAATATCAAACACACAATGTATGTTTGGTATTGTAATACTATGTTATTTTTTAAAATGTATATTTAAAATTATAATACTTGCTTTTATAAATGAATTTTTTATTTAAAATTATATTAAAATATTTTTTTAAAATTTTCTTATTATTTTTAAAATAAGTATAACAAAATATATTTTTAAAATACATATATTTTTTTTTTCTAACACCTTCGTAAACGCTCGCTAAATGTTCAGCCTTCCTGCCAATCGTTGCAACGATAATTTCTTTTCCTTTTCTTTTAAGAAGAAAGTACAAGTAACTAATAATGAATAAAAAGAAAACTATTGTCGACATGGAAATTGACGCATAGAGGAGCATGAAATAAAATAAAAAAACACCGACAATAACATGTGGTCACATTTACCAATGCCTGGAATTCATTAATAAACTTTCCATTTTTACAATTGTTTGGTAATAATTATAATTTGAAAAAAATTATTTTATAAAAATTATTTTTAATTACAAGTGATTTGAAAAAATAAATATTTAATTAAAATTATACTTAAAATTAAGGTTGAAAAACAGTTTAATGTATTTAATTAAGAATGCTTTTAAAATTAAAATTATAAAATAATTTTAAAAAACACATATTAATATTGATGATTTTTAATTTAAATATTATGAATTTAACTATTGCGATTACATCATGAAATAATTTATATTTTATATAAATTTTTTTATTATTCTATTAAACTATTTACTATTCTATTATATATAAAATTCATTTAATAAAAACTACAAAATTAGATTAAATATTATCAGAAATAGAATAAAGATTACAATATAAATAAATTTAATTTAGCTTAAATTAATTTTTTTAAAAATAAAAAATTACTGTTTATATTTACAGTAACATTACAAGTGAAATCAATCTATTACATTAATTTTTTTAAAAAACTATTTAATAAATAATAAAAATATACATCCATTATTCACGGATCAGTAGAGCAACAGTTTTTTTATTTTAACGCGTAGAAAGCAGCTATTAGCTGCTTCCTCATTTTTTTTTGTATTTCAAACTCAACAGGCTATATGATTTCGTGAACAGTAAGAAGTGTTTGTTAATTAACCAAACACCATGCAAAATAAAACCACAGGAAACATAGATGCTACCACGTAGCCAAACGGGTTCTACAAGCAAATATTATATCTCACAAACTAAAAACGTAAGAAAATCGACGGCACAACAAAAACACAAAAAAAAAATGGAAGACTTCTGGAAGAGAGCGAAGGTATTCGCAGAAGAAGCAGCAAAGAAATCCCAAACCCTTACAACTTCTTCCAACACAATCGCCGATTTAGTCACTGAAACCGCCAAGAAATCGAAAGAACTTGCCTTAGAAGCTTCCAAAAAGGCCGATCAGCTCAAAATAGCCGCTCTTAAACAAGCCGATTCGATCCAATTCAAGTCCATTTCCGATATTATCCCTCCTCAGCTATCCTCTCTCTCCATCGTCAATACTAATGCCTTCTCCTCTGCTTCTTCTTCGGGTTCTGGTCCTGTTGTCTCCGATTCGGAGCTCCGGAAGTTTGGTGTTACTGATGATTTGAGAGATTTTGTTAAAGGATTAACTTCTAGTACCTTCCAGAACTTTCCAATTCAAGGTAGTTCACATCTCGCAAAATGTGATTATGATTTTTGATTAATTGTTCTTATCGGATTGTTGATTTTGATGGTGTAGATGAAGGAGAGCCGTCTGATGTGGAGACAACGGAGTCAAATGTACGCAAGGATCTCAGTGAATGGCAGGAGAGGCATGCCACTCTTGTTCTCACCACTGTTAAGGTATTTTCAATTTAGTTTTTGGATATTCTTCTTTCTGTGTATGAAACGTGGAAGGACCGAGATTATAATTGTGTGTGTGTTTTCTTTTTAAATTGTTAATTGCAGCAAATTTCGAAGTTGCGATATGAGCTATGTCCGCGTGTGATGAAAGAAAGGAGATTCTGGAGGATTTATTTCACGCTTGTCAGCACTCATGTTGCGACGTACGTTTTTTTTTTTTTTTCCCTGAAGTTCCCTTCCGGTTTGATTAATGGTTGAAAAAAGATTTTATGTTTTTGGGTTTGCCATCATGAATGCTTGATGGACAGACGACAATTGAAGAAAACCCATATTGATCTACTCAGTTAGTTTTATCAAGCATTTCTTTGAGTTACGAAGATAAGAAAAAATTATGCAGCTTAATCATATGTAGCTTGTGTTATGCAGCGATCATCAGTGCCGCATGTAGATGGCTTTTAATGTGATTTGTGAATTTACAGCAGTTTTGGTGCTTTATATGGAAATTGAAACTGCTTGCTTTTGTCATCTATGAATCACAGAACAGGAAGACTGGAGTGGTTATTCGCATTTGATTTTATAAACTTTTTTAGGTTCAAATGAATTTGTGTATCAAAGGCTCTTGTGGAATTAATGAGAGAATACAATATAGGTCTTATTTTTCCGTGTTTGCTTTTCATGGTTAAAACTCAGGTACGAGAAGCAGTATACGGAGGAGGTTAAGCGTAAAGCAGAAGAGCAGATGAAAGATGAAAAGGTAAAGGAAAGTTCAGGGGTTGGGGAGAATTCTTCCAAATCAGAATCAACAGAAAAGAGCCTGAAAAGTAAGGCATCCTCAGATGAGCAGGAGTTGGACTCGTTTCTTTTGGGAGATCTTGAAGACAGTGATGGTGGTCCAGGTATATTCTTTCAAAATATGGGTTTGTAAGCAAGTTTATTTCAACGCTGTTAGTTTCAATCGTGACTTCTAACATATTTACTCTGTACTTTATTTAAACTATTTGGTTCTGATACTTGCATTTTGCATGGAAGCATTGTCTACCTATAGAGTATGTTTTCATTTTGCCTAGCATCCTTGTGAAGAAACCAAGCTGTTTCACAGCTTGAGTTTCACGCTGCTTCCTTGGTCACTTGCTTGCCAGGGTCTCTGAGTTCTTGCAATTTCATTTCAATTTTTTGGACAAGTGGTGAATGTACAATTGATTTTGGGAGATTTTCTTATTTCAAATTGCTTAGTTACTTGCTTCTTGGGATCTCTTGATTTTCTAGGCGGTCATTTTAATTCTTTGGACTGGTGGTGAATGTGCAATTGGTTTTGAGAGATTCCCTAAAGTTAACGTGCTCATATGCCATATAGGAAACCATATTTTGGAAATTGTAATCCTAAAACACCCTCTTAGGTCACAGAGACATCCACTGGGACCATTCTGAATTTAAATATTGCCATTATCAGCATATTATACTCTTAGGATATGCGACTTCATAATCATATTGGTAAAAGCTTTGTCATTGTTAATTTGCCCGGTACACTGTGGTATTTAATCAATGGCTGATACTTTCTCAGTGAATTGTTGGGCTGCCATCTGGGTTGACATGATTCATGAATGCATGGGTGCATATGGAATGGGGAAGGGAATGTTTGCTCTGCAGAATTCATTAATAACAATCCATGAACAGGATGACATGCATTTTTTTTTAATATCTCCAATGCTCCCTCTTTCGTTGTTGCCTTCAGTGTTTCAACTATCTACATTGTCTTTCAGATGACGGTGATGTGAGCTTTGATGATGATTTTGACAAGATTGGCAATTCTGTAAGTTCATCTTGCGATTTCTTATTTTATCTTCCTCTCATGATGTTGTTTAAGGTAGGGCCTTTTATTCCAGTTAGCATGCCTGCTTTGCAAAGTGCATCATTAGGTCAGGAAGAATGGGCATGCTAGGCTAAGACACTTCTACAAAATTGTACTGTAATTGTTAAATGAGTGGAAAATTTGATGGGTGTTGCAGGATATTGAAGATGATAAACATTCGAAGAAGGGCACAGGCACTACAAGTTAGAGTGGTGGTACCATTCAGGAGATTATGGAGAGAAGAATAACTCCTTCAAGGAATGGAAAAGGACCACCAGAAGGAAAAAGCAAGCAGCGCTTATTGGTGTTTCTGAAGAGGTGCATGGTGGCTGGGAAATATGTACTTAATGCTATAGATATCATGTGTTCTTTCACTTGTTTTAATGGGGTGAACAATGGTAGGTTATGATGCTGGTATGTTTAAAAATTAGGGCAAATTGACTTGCTTTGTACAGATTATTACTTGATTCAGTTGATTAAGAATTTTCAGTTCATTGTTGGAAATATATATTCAAGTATTTATGTGTTACGCAGTGCAATTCTTTTTTTCCTTTAAAGCTCAAGGTGATCAAACAAAATGCAGCACAACAGTGAATAAAGGGAATAGAGCATCCTTGCTCATCTGAACCCCTTCCACTTCCAGGTTCATTGGCTGTATGCTTCGATCATCCAGTCATCCATGTTTTTTATTTCTCCACTTGTTTTATTAAGAACCTTTCTGTGGTGCAGTCTGCAGAATTATCACATGATGACACTTGCTCGCTTAAAAGATTGCTTCCCTTTAGACAATTACCGATCCTAAAGTCATGCATACAATCTTGCAGGCGCTTGGGGAGACAGGATTGTTTGTTCGATCGCATGGGATGCCGTCTTCTAAGATGGAGTCCCTGCATCATAAGCAAATATCCAATAAACAGCTGCATTCCAGCTGTATTATAAGATGCTGGAACATACGATAAAACAAACTTGTGTATATACGCTTTCCATAGTCGTACAAGACACGCTACATCCTGTATTGAATATAATCAAGCAGTTTTTCCTAAGGAACTGGTTATGATAGAAACTGTTCTTTTAATTTTATTTTATTTTTGCTTTAAAATGTAGTAACATAATATTTTTCATATTTTAAAATTCATTTTTGACATAAACATATCAACACAATCCAAAACCAAGTAAAAGCAATTCAAAAAAATTAAAGAATGTGGTTGGACCGCGCAATGCCAAACAAGGCTTTAATTAATATGTACGTTACAACCACCACGATATGGCCATGGCATGAAATGGCCACAAATCTAAGCAACTCCACTGAAACTTATCATCTAAGGAGACAGCTCTCAACATGATTCCATGAAGTATGTAAGAATCTGAGAAACCAAAAGCATAGCATGTACATTAACCAAATGACTGATAATCGGAACCAAAGGAAAACCGAATGCAAACTTGATAAATCCCATGGTGCCTTATGATGTCTTTAGCCGCTTGTGAGCTTGATCTGAATCCTCTCCTCCACTTGTATCCCTAGGGTGGTTTATCATTTCATTGGTAGGATGGGGATTCTGGGGATCCTAGAAAGCAATGGAAGACACGTAAAACTGGCTAAGTCAAGCACAATCATAATATTTACAACTGCTTCCTAAAAAGACCTGTTGTTTATTGACCACTTTAAATTACCAGCCTCATACCTTAGATGTCAATGTACCAGAGGTCAGCCCTCTATTTGCCCGTTTTCCAAGATCAATCTGAACTGAGATGTTGGCTTGTGATAGATCTACACCAGCACTCTGCAGCGATTGCGTTAGAGTATTCAGCAACCTGATTTGCATGAAATTCCATATTAGCTGTCAGCTTATAGCTGAACGCTCAGGACTTCAAAAACTTCAAAAATCTTACAAGATCGTACGCACTCTTGAGAGTAAACACTGGAGATTTTGATTGTCCCTGCTTCAATTGCCAGCTCCTGCTGGTTCAACATTTCACTGGTGATGGGACACTCAGCTGATTGAGCATCAGTGACTGGTTGTTGACAGGGTTGAGCAACAAGTCCAACACTTCGAATGGGAGCAGGCGTGGGAAGAGGCATAACCTTGTTTGCTAGCTCAGGTTGGAATTCCAACACTTTGCAAGCAACATGGTCGGATTCTACTAGATTTGGTGTGCTTGGAAGCATGGCTGGTGTGAGAGCAATGTTATTCTCATCAAGTTTACCTGGAAATGTTTCTCCCGGAACATAACCATTTTTAATAGCTTGAGGGTGACCGACAGAACTTTGAAGGCGCCAGTGGCTGTTTCTCTGTTTCAAGAAGACCAAACGAGTTATTGTGAGAATTTTTTTAATAGTCAAAAAGGTACCATGTTCAAATGGAAAAGAAATCCACAATTGCTCTTCACCACCAGAAAATTTCCAATAGAAGTAATTAATATCATTCCCCCAACACAAACCAAAATGGAAAAGAAATCCACAATTGCTCTTCACCACCAGAAAATTTCCAATAGAAGTAATTAATAACATTCCCCCAACACAAACCAAAATGCAAGTACTTTTAAGGACATCCAGAAGCAAGAGCCTTTAGATAACCTGAACTTGATAAAAACAAAACAGAACAAGTTTAAAGAGAAAGGGCTCACCAAAGAAAATGAGCCCCAAAACTAAAACCAATCATTGTTGCTCAAATTTGATGAGTCAAAAACCAAAAGCTTTAAAGGAGTATTAAATAAGAGGCAGTTTTAGTACAGGCATATCAAATAAGTTACTTCAACTCTTTTTAGTACAGGCATATCAAATAAGTTACTTCAACTCTTTTTAGTACAGGCATATCAAATAAGTTACTTCAACTGCAACTCTTTTATCTGTGACAGTTTTATGACAGTTTTATTATGTCAATCTATCCATAAGGAAGAGGATTCAAGTCAAACATAAATAGAACCATGGTCTACTGATAGGGTTAACATTCTGAGACTCGAAAAGAAAAAAGAAAAAATTTCAATTACTTGATCATGAATGTTCATCTCAGATTTCCTTTTTTTCCTTTTGTTTTTTTTGTATTATGAAGATTTCTGGCTGTTAAATGTTGTCTAGATGAAAATTCTTCCTCAAATTTATAATATAAAACATCATAACAGACAAGTTGAATGCATGAGCCAGTCCTTAATAAATTCTATCATCAGTTCCAAATTCTCTCTCTAAGTCATAAAACCATTCTACCTGCAGAGCTTAGCAGACTATAACCAGTGGATATGTCAGCACCTAGAGTGTAGCAGATTATAATCCAAAATACATGGGTGAAGGTCATAAGTATACAACATATACAGGAATTAAAGCTTTACCCATGGCATCAACTTTGCTGGCTCAGGGCTCCATCCCTGGTATGGACCCTCATACTTTTGCACCTTTTCCTGTAAATGCTGGACAAATTCAATGACCTGCAAAGGATCATTAATATGTAGTCAAGAAACTTGAATGGAAAATCTTATCTGCTGAATTTACAAGTATCCTCTAGTTTGTGTCACTTGTATATTGTGTACCTCTAATAAAAACGATGCCGTGTCTCTCTTTTGATCACTATGAGGAATAAGATCTCTCAATATCTGAAATCTGAAAGAAAAATACCATTGTTCATAAAGCTATATCAGACTTTATAGTTTATGAGAAAACAAAATTTTGACTGATAACCAAATTTTCAATCAATATCCTAGATTTTACAGTAAAACAACATCTAACGTTGAAATTTCCGGTAATTTTTATTATTATTTCACTTGTGACCATTTGTTGAGATACTGGTATCCACAATGATACAGGTTGCCTTGCCAGCAGTCACACACACAAAAATGCAAGCCTCGCAATCAGTATTAAGATTATGTCAAGCTAAACAAGTGCGTTTATATTTTTTAACACTACAGCATGACCAAAAGCTGATAAAAAAAAAAAGAGGGTACAAATTTGAATGTATGGGTCAGCAATAGTCACATGACAAATGAAGAATCCTGGAGTCAGTAAGTACCTAATCTGAAAGAACCTCTAGAAAAAGCTCCAAAAGTTTAGTAAAAAAACCAAGAAAACTAGACAATGAGAACAATTCGAGTGCACAATAAGTATTGTATTGGAAACTGGTGTACTTGAGACTTAAAAATAACAATTAGCAAGTGAAGTGATTCAACTCAGCTCAATTGCATTATGTAATGCATTCACTTAATTCCCTAAACATTTGTACAACCACTGCAAAGAACGCTACCTAAATAATGCCCTTCTTAAATCAAATCATCCTTGTGTTCCAGATTCATTAAATGAACCAGTGTAAACAAAAATTGCCCTAAATACCACTGATTTTTCAGACTGGCCGAACTTTTTACCCACATCTCCCTTCACTGAGATGAAAGTGAACGCAACAAAAAGGCCGGTGACTTGAACAAAGAAAAAAGAATCATGTGAGCAAAAAAATCAGATTTGCATTACTTACATATTTAAATACTAATTGTCTATCCAAAAAAATAAACCAACAAACCTCTCATTGATCTTGCTCCTTCTTCGCTGCTCAGTGACTGAATGTTTCGATCTTATTGCATTTGCCCTGTCATTATTCTTCCCATCTGACATCCAAATCCCAGATCACAAAAACATAGAACTAAACAAAACTCAACACCCCGTTTAAAACACACCATTTTCACAACCAAAAAACATAATAAAAGCTCCAAAATTTGCTGTTGAGCAAATAAATCAGAGAGGTTGCACAATGTCTAGATTTCAAAAAAAAAAAGCAAAATTAGACCATAAAGAAAGGAATGAACATCAATAGTCACAAGTCACAACCTTGTAGAAAAGCAACGTAAATAGAGCTGGATCTAATACAAGTACAATAAATGTATAAAAGAACAAACCTTTACTGGAATTATTGTTGTTCACTGTAAAACTTGAAGACGGGCCATCTTTTCTAGAACCAAACTCATCTTCCTCGTACTCTTCCTCGACTTGATTTTGATTCCCTTTTCCTCTCATCACAGTAAGTCTAATTCATTACCATAAGAACAAAAAATAAAAGCAAACCCAAAACTCAGATTTTTTTCCTCGCAAGAAGAGCAAGAAAGACAGTAGTGCAAAGCTTACGAATAAAATAAATAGATAGAGAAACGAAAATATAGATTGAGCCAAACCTGGACTGGAGTAATTAATATAGAAGAATTGATAATTTAAAGAGTTGGGTGGTTTCTGGTGAGTAGCACCGGCCGTGACAGTGGAAGGGTTATGCTGGCTCCGGCAATCTGCCGACGGTATATTTGTGTTTGTGAGTTGGATTTTCGTGCTCGGGTCTGGTCACTCAGGTTTTTTTGTCTTTTTCTGCTGCAAGTGGTGCAAACGATTCCATGTGGAACTGCTCATGTTCTTCTCGTGAGCTCAATGCTTTCTTACTAAAAAATTTCCAAGGTGAAAAGGAGCGAGGGGATTTGTTTTTTCACCATTCGATTTGCTTGAACAGTGCCAGAAATATTTTACCTGTTAACCTGTGAAAAAATAGTGAATGTTATATATATATAATAATTAGTTGTTGGTAATAATTAGTTATTGGTAATAATTAGTTATTGGTTCAGTATTCAGACTAAATAATTAGTTGTTTTATTCTGAATACTGAACCAACAATTAATTATTTAGCTCCGATGATTTGGTTTAAATGGATTCTTTGAAAATATTAAATTTATGATGAACATAAAATATATTAATCTGACTGAATATTAAAAAAAAAAAAAGTTGAGACTTTCATAAAATAGTGTAACTCGAGATTATAATAATATTTTTATTTTTAATTTTAGTGTCAATAAATAAATTAATAAAACAAATTTATTTTTTATGAATGTACATATCTTTTTATTTTTCATTTATTTTTTTATATTTTTTCTAATTTAGCCTATGTGGGCTGGGCTAAATCCAGTCAGCCCGGTCACTCGAAGCAACATATATACGCTAATTCACGTGTATTGATACACTTTTCAAATGAATTAAAATTTTCTTCAACAGTATGCTTTGTATCAAATGAAAAGCAGATGAGAAAGAAGCTTACATGGTGCAACTGGAGGCGAAATTGGCGTTGGGGGATGAAAATGATGGTGAAGTTGACGGGTCGATGCTACTCTTCTTTTCAGTTCTTCCTCTATTATTCTTTCTCCTTGCTTCTAGAGACGATGAAGATGGCTGTAGATTCTGACTCTGGGTTGTTGTTTTTTTTTTGCTATTATTTTTTGGTTTCTTCCTTCTGTTTTTTCAACTCCCCTTGTTCTGTTTCTCCGTCCTTTTCTTTTTTGTTTTGTTTTGTCCTATGCTCATTTGTCCCCTACTCCCTATTCTTCTCTAGTTTTTTTATAGTGCTAAAGAAGCTTGCCCCCCACTTATAGTCTTGCCTTTTAATCAATCCATAAACGAGATCGTGGGTAGGAGACGTTTCCACGATTTGGACCCAAATCAATGCAATTTTTCCAGCTCCTCTGTTGAATCAGGACCAAGAAGACGAGCACAACTGTTCCATGCAGCAACAGTGCCATTTTGATAGAAATAGACATTTTCATTTTGGCACTTAAACTTTTGAAATTTAACAATTAGATCTCAAATAATCAAAAATTTCTTTTTAAATTTGCCCTCAGATTAATTTCAATTGAATTCGTAAGTTATAGTGTCATTTACACAATATTCCTGAGTTTCTGGATTATTTAATTTGATCTGTAAACTATAATTTCCTGCAATTCTACTTTAAATTAGCTCTGAATTTTGTTATTTCTTCAATTGAGTTCCTGATTTTTTTAATTAATTAAATCAAAGTTTAATTAAGTTCGCAAACTTATTAGTTCTTCAATTTTTGATTAATTAACTCTCAAATTAATAATTTCATCTTCGAACTATGAATTTTTGTTGTCTTAACCCCCTTTTTAACTCTCAAATTAATAATTTCATCTTCAAACTTTGAATTTTTGTTATCTTAACCCCCTTTATTCTCTTTATAATATTTACGATGCAAAGACATTGAAAAATTTCTTTTCTTTTAGGTTTTTTGTAGTAAATTTATAAAGAAAAGTAGACACAAAAGAAACCTTTGCTTTTCTAAGG